ATACGTCCAAAGAGATCGCTCACTTGAGAGAGAGAGAGAGAGAGAGAGTTGTGAATTGTGAACCGGATACAATCAGGCATTGTTTGTTCAATTATGCACTTGGTTCATTAGAAAAGCTTTATGGTATTTTTTATTTACCCGTATACTAGTATACAGTACACTATGCTAAATAATGTGCTGAATCTACAAACACAAACATGTCTAAATTATAACTCAGCTAATTATAATGAATATATAATATTTAAATATGAATAAAGTTATCATAAAAATACTATAAAAATATGAGCAAAGTAATATAGTTCATTAAGTGACAGAATATTCTTGACAATAATGTTTAATATATTATTTACAATTATATTACAGCCGTGTCGGTGAGTGTGTCGGTGTGGACACTGGTGGTGGTGTCAGTGGAACGGTATTACGCCATATGTCACCCGTTGGAGTCCCGGGGCTCCCGGCAGACCCTATCGCACGCCTACAAAGTCATTGCCATCGTATGGTTGGGTTCACTGGTGTTAATGTCGCCGATCGCCGCCGTCAGCGAACTGCAACCAATCGAAAATACCGGTACGACTGTCCCCTAAGCTACAGTTCCCCTAAAAACAAATTTTATTTTATTTTATAAATTATCTATTTTTATCCTAATAGTTCCTTGCTAATTACTTATACTATTAATTAGTTAGGATTCTATGAGATAGCATATTAAATTAATCTAGGTGAATTAATATAAAATAATTGTGTAATACAATATTAAATATTTAAAATATTGATAAATTAGTTTATTTTTATATGTACGATACTATTAACTTAGTGCACATGTATTTAATTATCTATAACTAAAAATACAAATTTATTAATTAGATTATAACAAATGCATTAATTTTGCTTGCTGATAGAAAAAGCACTTTAATGGTACTATTAATTGAAAATAATATTATTAGTAGTATAGTACTGTAAAAAATTCAACTACATCACTAATATCAATACTAAAAGAATAATATCTTAAAATTGAGCAACCAACATAAATTACCGTAATTTAAATCTAAGTCTAGTCAAAACAATTGCCTAAAACTAATTACCATATTATAAGGTAAACAACCGATTCTGTTACACATTTTATAGACATACACACAGAATATTCTACACTATTCTCAATGTACCGTATAATCTGTTATTGAGTAGGTTGTAATATTTATCGGATCATTTAAGTGATTTTGACATGTTTACTTTGCTAAGTGGTGTTACATTTTGTAGCAATATATTGAGAAATGAGATTAAAAATAATTTTTTTTCTAGGTAAATATAAATGCCGTGAATCGTGGCCAACTGATTGGTGTTTACAAATATTTACCCTGGTGCTGGACGCGTTGCTATTTATTGTGCCATTGATGATCATGTCAATAACATATACGCTAATATCCAGGACATTGCGGGATACCTTGAAAAACTCGCATCAAACAAGTATGCCCTAGTACAGTGTTATTATTAATTTTGCGTGATAAATGTTCACGTTTATTTAAACAATATAAAATACAAATAAATACTGTATTATAGCCTAAAGCCTAAATGCATTAGATAAATAATAGTAGCTAGATGACCTTTTATACATAAGCTACAGAATATTCTGTTATTATAACAGTGAAGTCATACTAAGATTTTTCAATCACAGATTATTTTTAAGTTTTACATTAATAAAATTAAAAAGTTTTTAAATTATTAAAAGCTAAAATATAAACCTAGTAAACCCTATGGGAAATTTGTAAGAAATCCGGTTTAGAAATAAACACTTAATGGATTAAAAAGTTGTAAAAAATTAATTTCAAAATATTGTTTA